TCCTGAACATCTCTTCCTCTTCGGGCGTCAATGCGCTGATAATGGGCTCCAATCGGCCGGTCGTCAGGTTTGGCACTTTGAACAGATCGGTGATCAAGTGCTCCATATCTATGAGTCCGTTCCACGAGAACAGATTCATGAGACCCCGTCTGTCGTAATCCATTTGTTTGAACCAATTCTTGATCTCTTCGTTGTCGGTCTTCACTTTGAATCTCTGATCCAAATGCTTTTGGAACTCTTCGGGCGATATGTGTCCCCTAACCATCTTCTCCACACCCGTTATGTTTGTGAAGTACTTACGCGTTCGAGCGATCACTTCCGATAATTGCGACAATAGTACTGATGAGAGCAAAAACATTAGCGTTAATATTGTAATCCTTAAGATCGTGCAAATCCAATACCCGGTCGACCCAAAGCGGTCAGCTTAATGGCCGCGAAGCCGGTGTGTAGTGTAGCGCCGGCCACGGCGTCAATACATTTCAAGAAAGTGGTCATATTCTTCTCGCAATTGGCCTCATTCATGTAGAAGTAGGTTCGCGCCACCGGACGGTATTTGCGCCGATCGGCGAACTCTTTTTGGGCAGTATATTGTATCAAAGTATCTGCAAATGGACAACAATTTAGCATAATTTGTCATCAATTGTTGAAAGCAATACTCTCTTACCGTCTGGCTTATGGTCCGCGTTTGACTGAGATCTAGATCAATGAAAAATGTGTTAAAATTCATTAAAATTCTTAACAGATTCCAGTTCTTTACGGCATTTCATGATCGATGGCCTCCTCTTCGGTGATATCTTCTTCGGCGCTGTAATCGAGTATAGACTTGACTCCAAATGAGCGCAAGTGATCCAAAATGGGACGAATGGTCACTTCGTTCTCTCCGGCAACGAATTGACCGTAAAATGACTTCTTTAGCATCCATTTGAATAGATTCTCACCGAAAACTCTTCGACCAAATTTGATGAGCTGTTGGTTTCAAAGTAAACAAGATTTCGATTTTAAATCATTTAAATTATTCACTAAATGAATAGTGTATTGCATATCAATTAAAGTGCAAATGTACTCAAATGTGATTTAGTATAATGATATCAATAGTAGTTAATAGGGAGTGAAGTGTCTTTGAAAAGTATACCGTATATAAAGGCATACATTATCTGAAGAACTAGTTTTTTAATGTTTGTTCAGATAAATCATAGACTAGACTCTGACAGACATTGAAAATGAGTTGAGAAACAGATAACACATGTATTAACGAATAATTTTGTTAGTTTTGTTGGAAAAACACTTTAATTAAATGATAAGTATTGAGAGCAACATAAAGAGTACTCGAGCTTTGGATTTATGGCATAAAGTGTTATAATTGTTGTGAATATTCTGTTCACAAGTGTTTGTAAAAGTCATTAATTAATGTATAGTTTGGCTAAAAGTCAATTAATGCTATATATAAGCCATTTGTTAACTATAATTACTATAATTAAATTAAAATAAGATAAATAAACATGTTTTACGGCTTTAAATAAATGCCGGAATTTTGATAACATAAAAAACTTGAATACAACTTAACACTTGGTTATTATCAATGAGATTAACTGTAAATGTCATGTAATCGTATGTATCATACGATGTGTGGATCAGCTGAGAGTTGAGTGAGAATTACCTTCGGATGATTGTTAACGAGTATATCAAATGAGCACAACTTGAGGACAACCAAAGCGC